GGTTAAAAAACAATAAGTTTAAAGGTAAACTACCAACGACTCAAGTTGGTTGTTACGTTTTGTATTACAAAAAAAAACTTTCATATGAAACGACGATTTTTACTATTAAAAGTACTTTAAAAAATTACAATTGACTATATAAAAAAAAGATCATCGCCAATCATATTTATCCTAATAACAGCCAATCAAAACAAACTTCCGCTATGCTTCTCTAAAAGATATATTTATAAATGCATCAACAAAGTGATTGGTGAACTAAAAATAGCTGACCAATCAAATTTGCGAATTTTTATACCATGCATAAATAAGAGTAAAAATTGTTGAGTTAATAAGAGGACATCCATAATTTAGTACAGTATTGTATAAAAATAGAGACCTTGAAGATAATTCACATAGTATTATTTTTGTATTATTTTAAAGATCCCTATAACAATGCTAGTTTATGGACGTCCCCTAAATTTGTTAAGATTAGGTGTAATGGAAATTATAGCAGATCAGTATGGTATAGGTGAGCAGTTCAGTATAGTACAGGCCAATTTTTAAAATTATACTATACGGATCTGCAAAATTATACCAACGCTCATACATATATATAATACCTGGTCCGTATATTCTGCCCACCTATACTATACTGATCTGCAAAATACTTCTTTTTTTATAATAATTATTCTTATACGTATCCAGTCTTATGATTATATTTATATATATAATATTCATTTTTTCATATATTGATGGATTGATTATATTCAAACTTTTAGGTAGCTTTGCATATTGGTTTTCTAAAAGAGCATTTTATTATTTTTATCCTTTATTTTAATAACTGTTTATTTTATAATATACTATTACTATTGTCTTGTCAGTAATGAAATATTAAATAGAAAAAGCTAATGTAGGATATTGTGCTTAATTGGTAATAATAATTATATAAACTGATGAAGCTACGTAAGAAAAAAACAAAAACAAAAAACCAGCGTATAGAAATATCCTTGCAGAAATGTATAATATGTGAATTTTACTTTTAGCACATAGTAACTTGTAATTAGTAAATAAAATTATATAACTATTACTTAAATTTAAGCTTATTATTTTTTAAATATTCACAATGTATTCAGTTACACATCAGCTTGGTGAGTTAGTATGTGTGAAAAGCTCGAACTGATGGTACTGTGTTGTTTATTGGTTTTATTTTGTCAAAGTACTGTATATAAAAGAAATAAGATAATATAACATTACCATCCGATATTAAATTTGGGTTTGGCCGAAAATAAGAATCCCGGTAGGGTCGAAATTCCTAAAAAATTGGTCAGCATTAAGCTAACTCTGGTTAATTTTGTTTGGATTTTGACCCTGTCAGGATTCTGTTTATATTGAAATAAATAAAGTACTAAATCATCATGAAATCATATTTTATAAGTCACTGGATATAATTTATTTTAAAGAACTTAAATGATGTGTACAAAAATTTAAAATATAACTATAAATGCTATTATTATTGCAAATATCAGTTGGACAAAGTATCGATAATTCCGATTCGACTTGATTTAAATACATGAAATTAGCAATAATTACATATGGGAAAAGTATCTAGTAAATTAAAAGATCAAATCCGAATTTTTTGTCATTAAACTTAGAGCTATTTACATTAAAAGATCAAATCTGAATTTTTTGTCATTAAACTTAGAGCTATTTACAAAAGTCCTATGAACCCTTTTTCCACAAATTAATTACCTAAAACTGTAACTATAAATTTTATTTCACATTCCATATGTAATGACTGGTTTTTTTTTTTAATAACGCAATTTATGAATCTCCATGGCCTGTCCAAAAGATTATTTACAATAAATCTCCAAACCAATATTTTTCAGCAGGTCTTCTTTTCTCGCTTTCAAATATTTCCTCCGAAACTTTTGCAACTCTTAGTAAAGTTGCTTCATCATACCATTTCGCCATAAATTGTAATCCAATAGGTAAATTCTTATCATCATAACCAGCTGGTACAGTAACAGCAGGAATACCGATAAAATTGGCCAATTGAGCATATCTAGTTCCATCAGCAGTAACTGTAGTATTAATTTCTCCATATTTTAAAGCTCGTGGATATATTTGAGGAGCAGTTATGGCACTCGTAGGTGTTAAAATAAGATCAACACCAGAGAATATAACAGAGACATTACGCATCATACGTGTACGAACTTGCTGTGATTTAATGTAATCAGAATAATTCGCATTACTTAATGTCGCAACGTTCGCTCTATTAGGAATATTCAATAAGTGCTTATATTTTTTGTAACCATCAATAACAGCGACGTGTTCAGTTCCAATGGTAATTAAATGAGCTATTCGAGCGTCTTCTAGCTCCGGAATATCAATCTCAATAAAATCGGCACCACGAAGTTTGAATTCATTAATAAATGTATTAAGAGCTGAAGTAATTGCAGGGTCGTTTACTTGTTTATTCCATGCAGAGAATATACCAATTTTTAGATCAGACAAATCATCAGTAAGGTAAAGACCATGAAGCGTGGGAGATGGTTGATGATAAGTTTTTGGATCCTAAGATAAAATAAATAATAAAATGAATAATAAATAAATAAAAGAGTAGTTAAATATTGTATAAATTTTAAACCAATGAATCACAAACCTCGGGATCTTTTCCAGAAATAACATAATAAGCTAATGCTAAATCATCAACGCAAGTAGTCATAGGACCCGGAACAGCTAAACAAAGACATGTTCAGATTAGTTTTTTTTTACAATTAATAACATGCAATTAATATAATAATAGGCCTCACCTACAGAAGCGGCAAGCGCAACTACATAAATCAAGAATAAATTGTTATTGTACAAATCTGAATACTGTATTAAAAGATCAATATATATTTTATTTATACATATATGATCAATAGAAATCAAGCAAATTTTTTGAAATTTAATAAAAAAAATTCATTTGGTATCTATTGATCATCATATATATCTTTTTATGGTATATTTACATTCTCCCTTTGAAGAAATCCTTCCGCATGTCGATTTTAATCCATAAATCCCACAAAAAGAGGATGGTATTCTAGACAAAAATATAATAATATAAATAATTGATTTGCCTTCAATTAAAGACTATTTTAATAATTACCTAATAGAACCACCACCATCACAACCTATAGCGATTGGGCATAGGCCACTATCGAGTGGAAATGTAATCAGGTTAATAAACAAATTCGAAATATGATTAAAAGACTTTGGATAAGAAGAATTTTTTAATAACCTGGCAACAACACATGCACTACCTCCACTTGACCCTCCACAATAATGATTGGTATTGTAGGGATTGCGGGATGTATATGTATTCGGATTATTAGTCGTAATGCTAAAAAAAAAAAGAAGATAATAGATAATCTTATAGTAATCATAATATTATCTAACAATATCGATACAATATATTATTAAACTTACTCAAATCCAATTTCGTGCATATTTGTTTTTCCGATTATGATAGCACCTTGATCTCTTAATCTTTTTACCAAAAACGCATCCTTTAAAGCAGGATTTCCTCGATTAAGAAATGATGTTCCCACACGAGTCTCATAGCCCGTAACATCGATCTCATCTTTAACCGCCACAGGAACACCATCAAGAGGTCCCAATGATTGATTATTGTTATATCGGAAAGTTGATGCTTCAGCCTGTGCCAAAATATCATCTTTATGGTATTGATACATGCCTAAAATTAATTTTGTGGTAAGTTGGTTATTTTTAAATATATAATTATAATTGATTATTTAAAAGTAAACTAACCGTAAAGAGGTGGATCGCATGCTTTAGAGGATGAATGATTTATTTTATCAATCAATTTTTCGCATACCTTTTTTTATAATAGTCGAATTATACAAAAGTTATTGTTAAATTATATTTATTATTATTATAATTAAACATAATCCTTAACATACTTGTAAAGGTGTGATCTTTTTGGCAGTGTATGCTTCAGTAAAGTCACGAGCACATAAAAACCTTTGATTTTCTGGAACTTGATTATGCGTTTTATTTTTCTGATTAAAAATTTCTAACCCACTGATTGTCTATAACAAGTATTATAAGCAGTAAACATATTACGATTTGTGTCTTGAAGAGAATAATCAAAAACTTGAGTGTTGTCAATTGGACATATAATCGATTAAAACTGGATATAATCCAAATAGAGTTGGAATATGTCCAATTCAAATATCATTTACTTCAATTAACAGCACTGGATTAAATATATGCTCATTTGGCCGACATAACATAGGGTTGTCTTATTAGTTGCTGGTATATATTTTTAGTAAATTATCACTTGGAGTGATGTCAGCTAAATGAGCTGTCGGTGAAGTGATCATCGGTTTACACATATGTATTCTATCAAAATACCTTTGGGTCTTCAACACCAAATACCTCTTTTGGTAAAGGCAATGGCATTATAGTCAATTCTTCTCTATAAGACCTATGTCTTAAGACCGTTAATCCAGCATTCCAGTAAAAGTAATTCGATAATCCGGGGACACGTTCAAGTAAGGATGTCACAATTTTTAGAGGTAAGCCGCTCAGATAAGGAGCGGAATGTCGGCGAGTGATCTATAGGAAACTTTATTAAAAAGTGTTCTTGAATTAAGAACAAGAATGGCACATTTTACCTCTTGGTCCTCTTGATCATGACCTTTTTTTGAAGAAGACATAACGAATGTTGAAATTGTTAAGACGAATTTCAGCAAATAAGTAAATCCGTGAGAATCTCCGAATACATTTATAGAAGGAATATTGATTATCCTTTGCCAAATGTGGTACAAAAATCAACTATAATTAGTATATATTAGCAGTAATCCTTAAGTGCTGAAGTGAGAAATAATACCCGGTACTATCGCTACCCAGTGATGTACATTGGACAAAATCAGACGCTTGGACATCTTTGGATTGGACGTCTAATCCAAATGTCCAATCGTGATCCTTGGACATAAAAGTCTTGGACCCTGTATAATCCATAAATTTAGATTAATTAAAATTAAATACGGTAGTATATACTCTATTAAAGGTAACACGAATATTGTCCAATCACATGTGATTTTGGTCATGTGACGTCCAATGTCCAATTGGACGTTGGACATATAGTAAAGTCCAAATCTAAACATCCAACATCCAACTTTTGTTATTGGACCGTTGGACATAACGATAACATCACTGGCTATACCGATATATTTAAGTTAGCGTATGCATTCCTATATATATTAAATTATATGCCATGAAACCTACGTTCGTACGTTCAAATAATATCAAATATGCCAATTGCTAATGTAAATGTAGTTATTTTAATACTTGATTCAATATTTTTCAAAAAAAGCTGTGTTCTTATTTATTTTTTATTTTGTAATACCAGATACCAATACCAGGAACGTACCAGGAACGTTAGTGTATGGTTTTACTGGCATCTAAAACGAAGGCAAAATCTTAAAGCTGAT